CCCAAACACCCCCCCCCCCCCCCCCACCACCCCCCACCAACCCCCCCAACCAACACCCCAACCCCCCAAAACCCCCCCACCCCAAACCCCCCCCAAAACACAACCCCACCCCCCACACCCCCACCCACACCCACCAAACCCCCCCCCCACACACCCCCCCCCACCCAACCCCCCCCACCAACCACCCCCCACCCACCCCAAACCAACACCAAAACCACCCCCCCCCAACCCACAAACCCACCCACCCACCCAACCCAACCCCCCCCCCAAACCCCAAAAAACTACCCCACACCACCACACACCAACCCCCCACACACACAACCCCAACCCCCCCCCACACCCCCCCCCCACCACCACCACCCACACACCACCCAACACACCCCAACACCACACCCCCCCACCACCCCCCCACCCCCACCCCCACCCACCCCAAAACACCCCCACCCCCCACCCCACCCACACCCACCCCCCCACCACCCCCCCCCCCCCCCCACCCCACCCCCCCCCACCACAAACCCCACCCACACACACCCACAACCCCCCCACACTCAAAAACCACCCTCCCACCAAACCCCCACCCACCAAACCCCACCACCATACCCACCCCACCAAACCCCCCCCACACCAACCCCCACCACCAAAACCCCCACACCAAACCCACCACCACCCACCACCAAACCACACCAAACCCCACACCAACACCCAACCAAACCCACCACCAAACCCCACCACCAAACCCACCACCAACCCCACCACCCCAACCCCACCACCAAACCCCACCACCAAACCCCACACCAAACCCCACCACAAAACAAACCAACCCACACACCCACCCCCCACACCCACACCAACCCACCCCCCCACACACCCCCCCCCCCCACCCACCCACAAACCACACCCCACCCCCACAACCCCCCCCCCCACAAACCCACACCCACACCCAACACACAACACCCAAAACACACCCACAACAACAACCCCACCACCACACAACCCACCCACACACACAAACAACAACCAACAACCAAAACCACAACACAAACCCAAACCCACACACCAACCACAAAACCCCAACACCCCAACCCCAAACCCCCCAAACCCCCTACCCCCCACCCCCAAACCCCCCAACCCCCAAACCCCCAACCCCCCCAACCCCCAACCCCCCAACCCCCCCACCCACCAACCCCCCCCCAACCCCCCAACCCCCCAACCCCCAACCCCACCACCATCCCCCCAACCCCCCACCCCCAACCCCCCCAAACCCCCAACCCCCCCCCCCTAACCCCCAACCCCCCAACCCCCAACCCCCACCCCCCAACCCCCAACCCCCAACCCCCCAACCCCCAAAACCCCAACCCCCATCCACCAACCCCCACCCCCAACCCCCAACACCCACCCCCCCCCCCCCACCCCCCCCCAACACACCCAAACCAACCAACCCCACACACCCCAACCCCCCCAAACACAACACCCCCCCCAACCCCCCACCACCCAAACACACCCACCACCACCAACACCCACCAACATAACAACCAATCCCACAACACACCCAAACACAACACACCCACACACAACCCAACCACACAACCACCCCCAATCCCCCCCACCCACACACCCCCCCCCAACCAAATCACACACACCCAAAACAAAAATCCCAAACAAAACACCCCCCCCCCCCACACCACACTAACCCAACACCAAAACCCCCCCCACACCCCCCCACAACAACAAACCCACCCACCACCCCCACAACACAACAAACAAAAAACACAACACACACAACAACCCCCACACCACCCACACTACACCCCCCACCCCCCCACCACCCCACCCCCCACCCCCCCCCCCACCCCCTCCCCAACCACCAACACACCCCATACAACCCCCCAACCCATACACACACCCCAAAACCCCAACCCACACCCAACACCCAACCAAAACCCCCCCCAACCACCCCCCCCCCCCCCCACCCCCTCCCCCCCCCACCACCCCAACCCAACACACACACCAACACAACAACCCACCCACTACACCCACACTCAACACCAAACATCACATAACCAAACCTAACCATATACTTCCCCAAACATTACCCTTTCTTTCCCTTCAACATCTACCCCCCCCTATCTCCCAACCCATTTCCCAACACCCCCCAACTACAATTCCCTTAATCACATCAACCACAACCCCTCATCTCCATTCCAAACAACCCAATATCTCTCCCACCCCCACACAACTCCACACCCCACCCCTTTAACTTCCCCTCTCCATTCTACCACCCCCCCCATTACCCAACCCCTCCTTTTCCCCATCCCCCACATTTTTTCAAATTCATCCATTATCCTTAACACCTCAATCCTAAACAAAACTCCTATAAATATTCTCTTACACACACATCCAACCATACCTCCCCCTCCCCACCCCCACCCCTATTCAAACTTTTCCCCCACCCACCAAACCCACCAACCCTCCAACAACTTCCCCCCCCACTACAATAAACTTAACACCAAATCCAACCTACAAAAAAACCCAAACCCCCCCCCAACACACCCTACAACAAACCCCAAAACAACAACCACAAAAACAAACACACAACACCATAAACACAACCAAAACCCAACCCCCCACCCACACACCCACCACCCCCACCAACAAACCACCACCAAACCAAACCCACCCAACCACACCCCCACAACCCAAACAAACACCACCCCCACACAAACACCAAAACAAACCCCACAACCAAACCCAAACCAACCAACCAACCCACCCCACCACCCCCCACCCCCCCCAACACCCCCACCAACCCCCCACCCCCCCCCCCCCAAACCACCCCACAACACCCCCCCCACCAAACCAACCCACACAACCACCCAAACCCTAACCAACCCAACCCAACAACAAAACCACAACCCCCCCACCCACCCCCCCAAACACCCCCCCAACCACCCCACAACCCCCCCCCACACCAAAACACCCAACACAACAAAAACACCCCACAACATAACAACCCACATACACCCCACACACCACCAACACCACCCACCACAACAACAACAAACACACCCCAAACCTAAAAACAACAAAACACACCCAACCCCCACACACCCCCCCCACCAAACCACCAACAAACACCCCCCCCACCCCCCCCCCCCACCAACCCACACCAACCCCTCCCCCCAACCCCAATCCCAAACACCAACATACCCCCAACAAAACACACCCACCACACCCACCCCCCACCACCACAACCCCCCCCAACACCCCCCAACCCCACCACCACAACACACACACCCCCCACCAAACCACCCCCCCCACCCAACCACAAAAACCCACAACCACAACCCCCCCCCCCCCCCACCCACCAACCCCCAACCACCAACCACACCACCACAACACCCCCCCAACACCCAAACCCCACCACCCCCCCCCCCCCCCACAAAAACCACCCCACACCACTAAAAAACACCACCCAAACACCCCACAACCACCAAACCCCCCCACACACCCACCACAAAAAACACACCTCAACCCCCCACAACCACCCAACCACCCCAACACCCACCCCCACACACCACCCACCAACCCCCCCCAACCCACCACACCCCCACCACAACCAACCCCCCCACCTCAAAACCTACACAACCACCACACCAACCACCCCCCCCCACCACCCACCCAAACCCCCCAACCCCAACAAACCACCCCCCACACCCCCACACACCCCCCCCACACACCCCACCCAAACCACACAAACCACAAACCCCCCACACCCACCCCACCAACCACAACCAACACACTAAACACACCCCACCAAAACACACACCCACCCCCCCCCCAAAAACACCCCAAAACCCACCCCACAACCTACCCCCCCCACCAAAACCATACACCCCACACACCCCCCCCCCACACCCCACCCCCCACCCCACCCCCCCACCCACACCCAACCAACCCCCCACCCCCAACCACCCCCACCCCAACCCCCCCCCACCCCAAAAAACCCAACACAACCCCCCCCACCACACCACAACCAAAAAACCACCACAACCACCCCAACCCACACCACCACCCCCCCAACACACCAACACCCACCACAACCCACCCCCAACCCACCCAACCCCCCCAACCCAAACCAAACCACCAAACACACCAAACCACAAACACACAACCCCCCCCCATACAATCCCCCCACCCCCACCAAACAAACCCCCCCCCCCCACAACCCCAACCCAAAACAAACCCAATACACAAACCCCAACAATAAACCCCCTCCCCAAAAAAATACACCCAATACTAAAACAAAACCCACACAAAAACACCACACCCCACTAACAACCAACAACCCACCAAAAAACCCAACAACACCATAACAACACACCCACCAAACACCCCACCCACCATTCCAACAATCAACCAAACCCATCAAAACCCCCCCAACCCAAACATAATCCATCAACCAACCCCCCCCTCCTCCCCCAACCAACCCAACCATACAAAACCCCCACCCCACCCCCACCCAACACCACCCCCCCCCCCCACCCCCACCCCCCCCCCCCATAACCAAACACACCCCACATCAACACCCCCCACCCAACACCCAACCCCCCCCACCCCAAACCCCCCAACACACACATCCATACCCCCCCCTACCCCCCTTACCCCCCCCCCCCCTATAACTCAATATCAAATAAAACAAATATAACTATAAATCCACATAAAAAATAAAAATAAAAATATCTATATATATAACATATAACAAAACAACCCTCACACCCCCCCCCCCCAAACCCCTACACACCCCCCCAACCCCCCACAACAACCCTAATCCATACAAACCCCCATCACCCCCATCTAACCCCCCATAACCCCCTAACACATACAACCCCCATATCTACCCAAACCCCACACAACCCCCCCACCCACCCTCCAACCCTCACCATCCCCCACCCCACAACTCCAACAAAACCAACAAACAACAACACAAACAACTACCCCCCCTACACCCAACCCCCACCCACCAAACCCCCCCCCCCCCCAAAACCCCCCCCACCCCCACCCACACCCCCCCCCACCACACCCCCACCCCAACCCCCATCCCACAACCAAACCCCAACACCACCCACACCCCACCCAATATCACCCCCCCACAACAACCACCCCAACCCCCAACCCCCACCACAAAACAAACACCACACAACCACACACACCACACACACCCCAACACACCACACACAACCACAACACCCACACATCACTACCACACACACCCATCTCACTCACCCACACTCACCACACAAACACCTACAACCCCCACACACACCCCCCACACACACCACACACACCACAACACACACACACACCCCAACACACCCCACACACACCACCCCCACACACACCCACACACACCCACACACACAACCACACCACAAACCCCAACAACACCCATAAACACCAACACACACACCACACACACACCCTCAACACCCATCACCCTACACTCCAACAACCCACATCACACATACCACACACACCCCTACAACACTCCACTCTCTCACCCCCTCTCTATCCCATATCATCACACACACACACATTCAAACCCCCTACTCACACACCCCCCCAACACAACACACACCCACACTACCTACCCACACACACACCACAAACCCCCCCCAACCCCCCCCACCCCACCAACACCAACCCACAAAACACCACACCACACAAAACCACAAAAAACCCCCACAAACAACAAAAAACCCCACACAAACCCAAAAACCCAACCCCCACACACCAAACCCCCACACCCCACCCACCCCACCACACCAACCCCCCACTCCCCCCCCAACCCTCCCCACCCCCCCCACCACAACCCCCCCACCAACCACCCCCACCCCAAAACCCACCCCCCCCCCCCCCCAAACACAACCCCACAAACCCCACACCAAACACCACCCCCAACCACAACAAACCAACCACAAACCAACCCAACACAACCACCACACAACCACAAACACACCACAAAAACACCCCCAACACAAACAACACCACAACAAAAACACCAACCAAAAACACCCAACCACAACACCAACCACCAAAAACCACCAACCACAAACACCACAACCACAACACCAACCAACAAACCACCACCACCACCACACCACCACCCCCAAACCAAAACACACCAACCCACACCACACCCCCCAACCACAAAACCACAAACCAAAAACACCACCAACCACACACCACCAAACCAACCACACCCAACCACACCACCACACCACCACCAACCACAACCAACCCCCCCCCACCCCCCACCCCCCCCCCCCCACCACCCCACCCCCCCCCCCCCCCCCCCCCCCCACCACCCACCCCCCCCCACCCCCCCCCACCACCCACCACCCCCCCACCCAACCCCCACCCCCCCCCCACCCACCCCCCACCCACCCCCACCCCACCACCCCCCCCCACCACCCCCCAAAAAACAAACCACCCCACCAAAACACAACACCCACACCCAACACAAAAAACAAACACCACCACCCCCACCACCCCCCCCACCCACCCCCACCAACCCCCACACCCCCAACACACCCCCAACCACACCAACAACACAAACCACCCCCCCACAAACAACCCCAACACCACCCCCCACCCAAACAAAACACACCACCACCAACCCCCCCCCCCCCCCCCCACAAACAAACCAAACCCCCCAACCACACCCCCCACCCCCCCAACCCACCCACCAAAACACCAAACACACACCCCCCCACCCACACACAACCAACCCCCCCCCCCCCCCACCCCCCCCCCCCACCCAAAACACCACCCCCACCCCCACCCCCACAACCCCCCACCCCACACACAACCCCACCCCCCCCCCACCCCCCCCCCCCAACCCACCCACCACCCCAACAACCCCACCCCCCCCCCCCCCCCCCCCACCCCACCCACAAACCCCCCACACACCCCACCACACACACACAACCCCCCCAACACCACACCCCCCCCCCCCCCCCCCCCCCCCCCCCCCCCCCCCAAACAAAAAACAACAACCACACACCACCCAACCACCCCCCCCCCCCCACCCACCACCAACCCACCCCAACACCCCCACCCCCAACCCCCCCCCACCCCCCCCCCCCCCCCCCACCACACCCCAACCCCCCCCCCACAAAACCCCACACCACCAACCCACCCCCCACCAACCCCCCCCCCCCCCCCCCCCCCCCCCCCCACCACAAAAACACCCCCACCAACCCCCCAAACCCCCCCACCACCACCCACACAACCCCCACCACCCCCACCACCCCCCACCACCCCACCCCCCACCCACCACACCCCACCACCCCCACCACCCCACCCACCCAAAACCCACCCAAAAACCCACACCCACCCCCAACCCCCAACAACAACCACACAACACCACCCCCAAACCCCAACCCCCCCCCCACCCCCCACCCCCCCCCCAACACACACACCCCCCCCCACCAACCAACACCACCCACCCCCCACAAACCCCCCCCCCCCAACACACCACCCCAACCACACACAACCACCCCCCCCCACCAACCACACCCCCCCACACAAAAAACCAACACACCCAACACCACACACACCACCCACCCCCCCACCCACCAACAACCCCCACCCACCCCCAACCCCCCACCCACACCCCCCCACCAACACACCCCCAACAACACAACCCCCCCCCACCCCCCCAACCCCCCACACCCACCCCCCCACCCCCCAACACCCACACACAACCACCCACAACCCAACCACCCCCACACCACCCCACACCCCACACACCCAACCAAACACCCCACCCCACCCCCCCACACACCACCCACCCCAAACAAACAAAACCCAACCACCCCACACAACCACCCCCCCCCCCCCCCCCCACAACAAACCCCACACCACCCCCCCCACAAACCCCCCCCACCCCCCCCCCCCCCCAACCACCACCACCACACACACCCCCCCCCCACCCCCCACCCCCCAACACCCACACACCCCCACCAACCAAACCCACCCACCCCCCACAAACCCCCCCCCCCCCCAAACACCACCCACACCAACACAACACCCCAACCACCCAACCCCCACAAACAAACACACCAACCCCAACCCCCCCACACAACCACCCCCAACCCCCAACCAACAACCACCACCCCCCCCACCACCCCCCCCCACCAACCCCCACCCACCCACCAAACACCCCACAACCACCACACCAACCACACCCCCCCCCCCCCCCCCAAACCCCACCCCACCCACCCAAAACCCCCACCCCACCCCCCACCCCCCCCCCCCCCACACCACCACAACCCCCACCACACCCAAACCCAAACCCCCACCCACACCCCACCCACACCACCACCAACAACAAAACCAACACCCCAAAAACCACCCCCCCCCCCCCCCACCACACACCCACAACCCCCCCAAACAACCCCCCCCACCCCCCCAACCCCCCCCCCCCACCCAACCCCAAAACCCCCACCCAACCCCCACACCCCCCACCCACAACCCCCCCAAAACACCCCCAACACCACCCCCAACACACCCCCCCCCCCCACCCCCAACCCCCCCAACCCCCCACCCCACCCCCAACCACACCCAACCCACCCTCCCCAAAAACCCCCCAACCCCCACCCCCCCCCACCCCCCCACCCCCCCCCCCCCCCCCCCCCCACCACACCCACCACCACCCCACCCCCCCCCCCCCCCCCCCCCCCCCCCACCACACACCCCACAAACCCAACCCCAAAAAACCCCCCCCACAACCCACCCCCCCCACCCCACCCCCCAAACAACACCAAACCCAAACACACCAACCACACACCCAACCCCCAAACCCACCCAACCACCACCAACCCCCCCCCCCCCCCCACCCCAAACACAAACACCCACACCCACACACACCCCCAAAACCAACCCCACCACACCCAACACCCCCACCCCCCACACCCACCACACCACCCCCCACCCACACACCCCACCCACAACCCCCCCCCAACCCCCCACCCCCCCCACCACCCCACCCCCCCCCCCCCACCCCAACCCCCCCAACCCCACCACCACCAACCCCCCCCCCCCCCAAACACCCCCCCCACCCCCCCCACCACCCCCAACACCACCCCCACAACCACAACACCCCAACCCCCCCAAACCCCCCCCCACCCCAAAACCCCCCCAATCATCAACCCCCACCCCCCCACACCCCCCACCACACCACCCACACACCCCCCCCCCCCCACACACCACCCCCACCCAACCCCCCACCACCAAACACCCACACACAGTGTCCGTGTATTCATCCAAACTGTCTGTGGCAGCTCTGAAAAGGTCCCAGTCTGTAGATTCCATGCATGCAGCTCTTCCACAGCTTCATCAGACCACACTTTGGAGCTCCTCACTGCAGGTTTCGAGAGCTTTAGTCTCTGTCTGTAAGCAGGAACCAGATGTATCATGGAGTGATCTGAGAAGCCGAGGGCTGGCTTTGGGAACAGCGTGAAAAGCTCCGCGCACGGTGGTGTAACAGTGATCCAGAGTGTTCTCCTCCTCTCTGGTCGGTGGTGTAACAGTGAACCAGAGTGTTCTCCTCTCTGGTCGGGCATTTGATAAACTGTCTGTATTTGGGTAATTCCTGGCTCAAGTTTCCCTTATTAAAATCCCCCAGGATAATAATCAGAGAGTCCGGGTATAAACGTTCCATACACAGTACTTGCTCTGCGTCCGCGCATGGCGGTATGTAAACAGAGGCAAGAATGAATGAAACAATTTCGCGCGGGGAGTAAAATGGTTTACAATGAATGAAAAGATATTCCAGAGCAGGAGAGCAGTGCTTGGAGATCACTGTCACATCGTTACACCAGTTTGTATTGACGTAGAAACACAGCCCACCGCCTCTGCTCTTCCCTGAGAGCGCACAATGAGGACACAGAGGACACCAGGTCTCAGTGAAGCAGAGGACACAGAGGACACCAGGTCTCAGTGAAGCAGAGGACACAGAGGACACCAGGTCTCAGTGAAGCAGAGGACACAGAGGACACCAGGTCTCAGTGAAGCAGAGGACACAGAGGACACCAGGTCTCAGTGAAGCAGAGGACACAGAGGACACCAGGTCTCAGTGAAGCAGAGGACACAGAGGACACCAGGTCTCAGTGAAGCAGAGGACACAGAGGACACCAGGTCTCAGTGAAGCAGAGGACACAGAGGACACCAGGTCTCAGTGAAGCAGAGGACACAGAGGACACCAGGTCTCAGTGAAGCAGAGGACACAGAGGACACCAGGTCTCAGTGAAGCAGAGGACACCAGGTCTCAGTGAAGCAGAGGACACAGAGGACACCAGGTCTCAGTGAAGCAGAGGACACAGAGGACACCAGGTCTCAGTGAAGCAGAGGACACAGGATGAAGTCCTTGTTTCTTCTCATGAGCAGGCTGAGTTCGTCTTATTGCCCAGTGAGCGTACGTTGGAGAGAAAAATGCCGGGGAGAGGCTCCTCTCCTCCTCAGACGCACGAGCAGCCTCCACGCTTTCCCCTTTTACGGGACCACACTTCTTTGGCTAGAACATGGACTAAATCAGCCGCAGATGCCAAGAAAACAGGCAATAGGTCCATGGGAACGGTGGGTCGGATGTTCATAAGTTCCTCACGGGTGTAGGAACAGCCAGATGCACAGTTAAAAAGTAAAAACAAAAGAAGAAGAGAGCAGCAAAGAGCCGTGTCGACCGTACGAGGCGCCATCTTGAATGAAAGTTAGTACATTGTGCGTCTTGAGTAACGCGCAGTAACGGGATGTCGGAAATGATAACGGCGTTATAGTTACTGTCAAAGTAATTAGTTAGATTACTCGTTACTGAAAAAAGTAACGCCGTTATTCCCATCACTGCCTCTAACACATAATGAGAGAGTACATAGAACGATGACTCTTTAGACTAAAAAGTTACTTGAAATAAAAGTATGGTGCAAATATAAATTAGGTTTGGAAAAACATCTACATCCATTACATTATGCTCAAATCTTGCGACAGAAAACGTGGCCTGGCTCCAGCCGACCTTTAGCCCCACCTCCTGCACTTTCAGCGGGCTGAACAGAAAAGTGTGTCAAATATCCAGATTGAAGATGGTGGAGCCCGGAGTGACCCTTTAAGGCTTTTTCTCTGCCTCAGATCTGTATCCTTTATCCGTGGAGCAAGCATCCATAAAGTAAATTCACTCGCATTTATGTGTGATGTGACAAAAGTCAAATACTAATATAGGGGTGGATCATGTCTTAAAAAAACGAAAGGTCTTATTTTTCCAGGTGCATTATTAATGTGTATGTAATGAGTACGTAACATGTAAACGACATAACATAACATAACATAACATAACATAACATAACATAACATAACATAACATAACATAACATAACATAACATAAAGAGTCTGTATACATGGCCTGGGTTTCCTTTCGCCCCCGGTGGAAGGTCCAGGATCCGTGGTGCAAGCATATAGACTGTAAGTAATTCTATTTTAAATGTTGAAGAACAAATACTTTAATGCCCTCTAGCGATCTAACTGCGAACTGATCTAACCGGAACCTTTAATCCAGGAACACACGGTCGCATGTTCCTGGCCGGACAGATGTTGTGGTTGCTCCCTCTCTTAGCTCTCGCTCAGGCTCTTTTTCGGATGTAAATTTTATTGGTAGATTTTTCATTTATCACCAGGTGATTAATAAGGTACAATGTTAAATGTGTCTTTTCTCTGTTTCATGATCACGTTTCTTATAGATCTGGAAAACAATATTTTACTTATTTCTCCTTCATCACATGAAGAATGTTGAATATTCTGTTAATACAAACACAGGCTTCATGATGGAGGTAGAAGCAGCTGTTATTTTAGATGCCATTGTCTCAGTAACATTTCGTGTTGTTTAGTTTTGTTCAGGAAAATGGACGTAAATGACGCGTGTAAAGAGCGAGCTCCAGCCCCGGCTCCGGAGCCGGCCCCGGCTCCGGAGCCGGGGCTGGGGCCGGGGCTGGGGCCGGGGCTGGGGCCGGGGCTGGAGCCGGGGCCGGGGCCGGGGCCGGGGCCGGGGCTGGAGCTGGGGCCGGGGCTGGGGCCGGGGCTGGAGCCGGAGCCGGGGCTGGAGCTGGTGTCGGAGGAAGGAAGAAATATAAAGTCTGTTTTATGTCAACGCTGCGGATCCAAAGTGCTGTGTCCTGGAACGGCACAGTTCACAGAGAAACAGGTGAGAATGACCTGCAAAGTCTATAGCAAACACACAAAACTGTGATGTTTTTCATTTTAAATGCAAAACTATAATTGTTTAATATGACCCCAAGGCGTTCCCAGGCCAGCTGAGAGACATAGTCCCTCCAGTGTGTCCTGGGTCTTCCCAGGGGCCTCCTCCCGGTGGGACGTGCCCGGAACACCTCCCCAGGGAGGCGTCCAGGAGGCATCCGGAACAGATGCCCGAGCCACCTCAACTGGTTCCTCTCGACGTGGAGAAGCAGCGGCTCTACTCCGAGCTCCTCCCGTGTGACTGAGCTCCTCACCCTATCTCTAAGGGAGCAGCGGCTCTACTCCGAGCTCCTCCCGTGTGACTGAGCTCCTCACCCTATCTCTAAGGGAGCAGCGGCTCTACTCCGAGCTCCTCCCGTGTGACTGAGCTCCTCACCCTATCTCTAAGGGAGCAGCGGCTCTACTCCGAGCTCCTCCCGTGTGACTGAGCTCCTCACCCTATCTCTAAGGGAGCAGCGGCTCTACTCCGAGCTCCTCCCGTGTGACTGAGCTCCTCACCCTATCTCTAAGGGAGCAGCGGCTCTACTCCGAGCTCCTCCCGTGTGACTGAGCTCCTCACCCTATCTCTAAGGGAGCAGCGGCTCTACTCCGAGCTCCTCCCGTGTGACTGAGCTCCTCACCCTATCTCTAAGGGAGCAGCCACTCTGCGGAGGAAGCTCATTTCGACCGCTTGTATCCGCGATCTCGTTCTTTCGGTCATTACCCAAAGCTCATGACCATAGGTGAGGGAGCTCTGACTGCAGACGCTGCTCCCTCATGACCATAGGTGAGGGAGGGAACGAAGATTGACCGGTAAATCTTTACCACAACGGTCCGATACAGCTCTGACTGCAGACGCTGCTCCCTCTTTACCACAACAGTCCGATACAGCTCTGACTGCAGACGCTGCTCCCTCTTTACCACAACGGTCTGATACAGCTCTGACTGCAGACGCTGCTCCCTCTTTACCACAACGGTCCGATACAGCTCTGACTGCAGACGCTGCTCCCTCTTTACCACAACGGTCCGATACAGCTCTGACTGCAGACGCTGCTCCCTCTTTACCACAACGGTCTGATACAGCTCTGACTGCAGACGCTGCTCCCTCTTCACCACAACGGTCTGATACAGCTCTGACTGCAGACGCTGCTCCCTCTTTACCACAACAGTCCGATATAGCTCTGACTGCAGACGCTGCTCCCTCTTTACCACAACGGTCCGATACAGCGACCGCATCACTGCGCACGCTGCACCGATCCGCCTGTCAATCTCACGCTCCATCCTCCCCTCACTCGTGAACAAGACCCCGAGATACTTGAACTCCTCCACTTGAGGAAGGACCTCTCCACCCGCCTGAAGAGGGCAAGGCACCTTTTTCCGGTCGAGCACCATGGCCTCGGATTTGGAGGTGCTGATTCTCATCCCAGCCGCTTCACACTCGGCTGCAAACCGATGTTGCAGAGACGTGTCAGCCAAGACAGTCCTACAACATCCAGAGACTTTAGATAATCAGGGCGGATCTCATCCACTCCCGGAGCCTTGCCACCATGGAGGCTGCCAACCACCTTGGTGACCTCAGCCAGGGAGATGGATGTATCCGCCCCAACATCCTCAGCCTCTGCCTCTGTAACAGAGGACGTGACGGGGGGATTGAGGAGAACCTCGAAGTATTCTTTCCACCGCCCGATAATATCCCCAGTCGAGGTCAGCAGCTCTCCACCCGCACCGTACATGGTGTTGGCAAAGAACTGCTTCCCCCTCCTGAGGCGCCGGACGGTTTGCCAGAATCTCTTCGAGGCCGACCGATAGTCATGCTCCATGGACTCTCCAAACTCCTCCCAGTCCCGGGTTTTTGCCTCTGCAACAACCCGGGCCGCGGCACGCTTGGCCTGCCGGTACTGGACAGCTGCCTCAGGAGTCCCACGAACCATCATGGCTCGATAGGACTCCTTCTACAGTCTGACGGTATCCCTTACTGCCGGTGTCCACCACCGGGTTCGGGGGTTGCCGCCGGGACCAGCACCATAGACCCTGCGACTACAGCTAGGACTATATAAGATTAAAGAGCCTTTATTTGTCAGTGTTGCAGCACACATAATCTTTGTCTGCTGGTCTTGATGCCAGACATGGATCACAATAAGAACTCATAATATTCCATGAGTTTTGTCAGAAATGTATTTTATGTCAAATATAATTAGTCCTCAGATTTAAAGGAGTGTATTCTTAAATGATTTCCACTGATTTGGTTGAAACACGGCCCTTGGATACGACTCTGACAGAATCATGACGTGTCTTAGTTTGTTTCTGTTACACTAGATTATGCTTCAAAATGTGTGGGACGTTTATGTCCACGACATAATCCCCCAATACTCAGAATATATGTCTGTAAATATAAAAGGAAACCTTACCCTACCCTACCCTACCCTACCTTACCTTAACCCTACCTTACCCTACCCTACCTTAACCCTAACTTACCCTACCCTAACTTACCTTAACCCTACCTTACCTTACCCTACCTTACCTTACCCTACCCTACCTTAACCCTAACTTACCTTACCCTACCTTAACTTACCTTAACCCTACCTTACCTTAACCCTAACTTACCCTTACCTTACCTTACCTTAACCCTACCCTACCTTAACCCTAACTTACCCTACCCTAACTTACCTTAACCCTACCCTACCTTAACCCTAACTTACCCTACCCTAACTTACCTTAACCCTACCCTACCTTAACCCTAACTTACCCTTACCTTACCTTACCTTAACCCTACCCTACCTTAACCCTAACTTACCCTACCCTAACTTACCTTAACCCTACCCTACCTTACCTTACCCTACCTTGCCCTACCCTACCTTGCCTTGCCTTACCCTAACTTACCTTACCTTACCTTAACCCTACCCTACCTTAACCCTAACTTACCTTAACCCTACCCTACCTTACCTTACCCTACCTTGCCCTACCCTACCTTGCCTTGCCTTACCCTAACTTACCTTACCTTACCCTACCCTACCCTACCCAGACCTAATCTGATAAGTTTTCTCTCTGCAGCTGTTTCTTCCTTCGATGCGTAAAAAGTCTGGTTCCTTTGGCGCCGAGGGCTCAGACGGAGACACACTCATGTCTTTCTGGTTGGTCCACGACATGTTTGACTTTGAAAACGTGGGATTCACAAACGACGTTGGAAGAATCAAGTTCCTGATCTGTGCAGACTGTGAGATCGGCCCCATCGGCTGGCACTGCCTGGACGACCAGAAGAACTACTACATCGCTCTGGAGCGAGTGAAGCACGAGTGAAGCACGATGGAGCAGGGTGGAGCAGGGTGGAGCAGGGTGGAGCACAAGCAGAGCAGGGTGGAGCAGGGTGGAGCACGAGCAGAGCAGGAGTGACAGGACCTTGACCTTTGACTCTTTTCAGGCACAACTGTGTGCCAAAGTTGGAACACCCCTAACCTTTGGTCTAATAATGAAGTTTTTCACTTGTGGATGAACTCTGGTCCTTTCACTTCTGTTTTAACGACAGTATAATTTTATATATATATATATATATATATATATATATATATATATATATATATAAAAACTTGATCCAGGACATGTCTTTTTAACTATAGTATAATTATATATATATAACATAACTTGATCCAGGACATGTCTGTGTAGAAGTAACTGCAGTGTTTATCGCTGGGGTCCTGTAGGTTCAGAGTCTCTTTTGCCTGAATACAAGTATCAAAGTTTCCAGATTATACCCAAAGTCTGAAAACAAAATGTTACGTTTGTTTCCAAGAAGAAAATGAAACTATGTTTTACTGAAAGTCGTGGAAGTGTCGGAAAAGTGTGTTCATGAGTTATAATAAACACAAGCTCCTGTTTCCAGTGACGTTTATTTAATGTGCTTTTCACAACGACTTTAACGATTTAACGATCATTTCATGTGTTCACAGGAATAGTCCTGTTCAGTCATGTGTTCACAGGAATAGTCCTGTTCAGTCATGTGTTCACAGTGGAATAGTCCTGTTCAGTCATGTGTTCACAGGAATAATCCTGTTCAGTCATGTGTTCACATGAATTGTCCTGTTCAGTCATGTGTTCACATGAATTGTCCTGTTCAGTCATGTGTTCACAGTGGAATAGTCCTGTTCAGTCATGTGTTCACAGGAATAGTCTTGTTCAGTAATGTGTTCACAGGAATAGTCCTGTTCAGTCATGTGTTCACAGGAATAATCCTGTTCAGTCATGTGTTCACAGGAATAGTCCTGTTCAGTCATGTGTTCACAGGAATAATCCTGTTCAGTCATGTGTTCACATGAATTGTCCTGTTCAGTCATGTGTTCACATGAATTGTCCTGTTCAGTCATGTGTTCACAGGAATAGTCCTGTTCAGTCATGTGTTCACAGTGGAATAGTCCTGTTCAGTCATGTGTTCACAGGAATAATCCTGTTCAGTCATGTGTTCACATGAATTGTCCTGTTCAGTCATGTGTTCACATGAATTGTCCTGTTCAGTCATGTGTTCACAGTGGAATAGTCCTGTTCAGTCATGTGTTCACAGGAATAGTCTTGTTCAGTAATGTGTTCACAGGAATAGTCCTGTTCAGTCATGTGTTCACAGGAATAATCCTGTTCAGTCATGTGTTCACAGGAATAGTCCTGTTCAGTCATGTGTTCACAGGAATAGTTCTGTTCAGTCATGTGTTCACAGGAATAGTTCTGTTCAGTCATGTGTTCACATGAATAGTCCTGTTCAGTCATGTGTTCACAGTGGAATAGTCCTGTTCAGTCATGTGTTCACAGGAATAGTCCTGTTCAGTCATGTGTTCACAGGAATAATCCTGTTCAGTCATGTGTTCACAGGAATAGTCCTGTTCAGTCATGTGTTCACATGAATAGTCCTGTTCAGTCATGTGTTCACATGAATAGTCCTGTTCAGTCATGTGTTCACAGGAATAATCCTGTTCAGTCATGTGTTCACATGAATAGTCCTGTTCAGTCATGTGTTCACAGGAATAGTCCTGTTCAGTCATGTGTTCACATGAATAGTCCTGTTCAGTCATGTGTTCACAGTGGAATAGTCCTCTTCAGTCATGTGTTCACAGGAATAGTCCTGTTCAGTCATGTGTTCACAGGAATAGTCCTGTTCAGTCATGTGTTCACATGAATAGTCCTGTTCAGTCATGTGTTCACAGGAATAGTCCTGTTCAGTCATGTGTTCACATGAATAGTCCTGTTCAGTCATGTGTTCACAGGAATAGTCCTCTTCAGTCATGTGTTCACAGGAATAGTCCTGTTCAGTCATGTGTTCACAGGAATAGTCCTCTTCAGTCATGTGTTCACAGGAATAGTCCTGTTCAGTCATGTGTTCACAGGAATAGTCCTGTTCAGTCATGTGTTCACAGGAATAGTCCTGTTCAGTAATGTGTTCACAGTGGAATAGTCCTGTTCAGTCATGTGTTCACAGTGGAATAGTCCTGTTCAGTCATGTGTTCACAGGAATAATCCTGTTCAGTCATGTGTTCACAGGAATAGTCCTGTTCAGTCATGTGTTCACAGGAATAGTCCTGTTCAGTCATGTGTTCACAGGAATAGTCCTGTTTCACGGATCATGTGTTCACAGGAATAGTCCTGTTCAGTCATGTGTTCACAGGAATAGTCCTGTTCAGTCATGTGTTCACAGGAATAGTCCTGTTCAGTCATGTGTTCACAGGAATAGTCCTGTTCAGTCATGTGTTCACAGGAATAGTCCTGTTCAGTCATGTGTTCACATGAATAGTCCTGTTCAGTCATGTGTTCACAGGAATAGTCCTGTTCAGTCATGTGTTCACAGAATAGTCCTGTTCAGTCATGTGTTCACAGGAATAGTCCTGTTCAGTCATGTGTTCACAGGAATAGTCCTGTTCAGTCATGTGTTCACAGGAATAGTCCTGTTCAGTCATGTGTTCACAGGAATAGTCCTCGTTTCACAGTCATGTGTTCACAGGAATAGTCCTGTTCAGTCATGTGTTCACAGGAATAGTCCTGTTCAGTCATGTGTTCACAGGAATAGTCCTGTTCAGTCATGTGTTCACATGGAATAGTCCTGTTCAGTCATGTGTTATCACAGTCAGGTAAGATAGTCCTGTTCAGTCATGTGTTCACATGGTTCATAGTCCTGTTCAGTCTATCTGTGTTCACAGGAATAGTCCTGTTCAGTCATGTGTTCACAGGAATAGTCCTGTTCAGTCATGTGTTCACAGGAATAGTCCTGTTCAGTCATGTGTTCACAGGAATAGTCCTGTTCAGTCATGTGTTCACAGGAATAGTCCTGTTCAGTCATGTGTTCACAGGAATAGTCCTGTTCAGTCATGTGTTCACAGGAATAATCCTGTTCAGTCATGTGTTCACAGGAATAGTCCTGTTCAGTCATGTGTTCACAGGAATAGTCCTGTTCAGTCATGTGTTCACAGGAATAGTCCTGTTCAGTCATGTGTTCACAGGAATAGTCCTGTTCAGTCATGTGTTCACAGGAATAGTCCTGTTCAGTCATGTGTTCACACAGGAATAGTCCTGTTCAGGTCATGTGTTGTCACAGTGTTCACAGAGTCCTCTGTTCAGTCATGTGTTCACAGGAATAGTCCTGTTCAGTCATGTGTTCACAGGAATAGTCCTGTTCAGTCATGTGTTCACAGGAATAGTCCTGTTCAGTCATGTGTTCACAGGAATAGTCCTGTTCAGTCATGTGTTCACAGTGGAATAGTCCTGTTCAGTCATGTGTTCACAGGAATAGTCCTGTTCAGTCATGTGTTCACAGTGGAATAGTCCTGTTCAGTCATGTGTTCACAGGAATAGTCCTGTTCAGTCATGTGTTCACAGGAATAGTCCTGTTCAGTCATGTGTTCACATGAATAGTCCATCACCTTCTCTGTAGCAGCTTTTTAGGAGGTGAAACAAAAGTGTTCAAAGTGTTTGAAAAATAATTGATAAAACTTGTATTTACTTTTGTTCTGAGGATTACAAACGGAACAGTCTTAACATCGTTATTATTATAGATCCATGCTTAACATTCAACCAATGACGTGCTTGTTAATGCGGACCAATCACAGCGCGTCTGCTGACTATTTAAAAACGTAGTTCCGGCCCCAGCGCACGGATCTCTGGGTGCATTTGATTTAACTACATCGGGACAAAGCGGGGGAGAAATGGAACGCACCATTGAACCTTATTTTCAGCTTTAAAACAAGAACAACTTCAGTTTAGTATTGAAAATAGTTTAACTAACGTTAGTCTGCATCAGTCCTCTGCTTTATACATCATGTGATTACGTAAGACTATAATGAACTAAATTAACCTGTTTTTCTTCTAATTATTTTTGTCAGTCGTTTGTGACTGTTGTTTTTGTGTAAACGTTTTCACTGTTAATGAATAGAAGAGCCAAATGTTTTGGTTAAACTGGGATCCAGTGTAAAACAGTTCAACAGCAACTCACGAGTAACATTTAAATTGTATTAATGATTACGTTTTCAAAACGTGTTTTTAGATGTTTCTGTTTTTCACTTTCTTTGGGGTAGTAAATAATACATAATGATATTATTGAAGAATATGACATTTAAATAAAAATGACTTTTTTTTTGATGACGCATTACAAAATAATGCAGAATTAAAACGAACCCACAGTGAAGGGTCTTTTTGTGGGGACTACTTCGCGCCGCGGAAGGACACTGGTTGTGACGCTTCCGCCTCCGTCTCTGGATCCGTGAGCGACATGAAGTGAAGACTCCAAATAAACACAAACAAACTGCGTTTAACCGAATGGTTTAACGGGAGGATTACCGCTGGTCCCGGACAGATGCCACAATGACACAGGCCCCGTGTGAGTTCGTGGCCCCCCCGGAGTGCCCGGTATTCGAGCCCAGCTGGGAGGACTTCTCAGACCCTTTCTCCTACATCAACAAAATACGGCCCATTGCAGAAAAAACTGGCATCTGCAAAATACGACCCCCGCAGGTACGTGGCCCCCGCAGGGTCGAGGCCCCCACAGGGTCGAGGCCCGCACAAGGACGTGTGGGCTCGGTGGAAGTGCTCGTTGGCAAAGTTGTGTTTTCAGACGGTTTCCAGCACAGGCTTCAACATGGCGTCGGTGGCTCCGGCCTGAGCTCCATACACACACACACACACACACAGACACACACACAGACACACACACATATACACACACACACATACATACACACACAGACACACACACAGACACAGACACACACACACACACACACACACACACACACAGACACACACACATATACACACACATATACACACAC